CTCCAAGTGGGGGACATGGTGGTCAAACTGCCCACCCGAGATGGGGGGACAGCCAGAGGCTCCCTGCAGGCCAAAGTGCAACGCCTGGCACGAACCTTGTCGGCAGGCCCGGCCGGGGGATCCCTCACAGTGCGTGGGGGAAAGGCTGCAGAGTCACTGCGAAGCAAAATGCAACGACTCGCCAAGACACTAGATGGGAGCTACCTGGACAAGGACCGCACAGACCGCCGGGGGACTAAAAGACGCTCAGAGATTGCGGCGGGGAGTGGGAGAAAGAGTACGGCAGCCGAACGACCTCCTCTCCGCCGTCGACGCCACCTGAACGCTGCTTGAGTGCCAGTCCTGCGATGTATAGCAACGCCCAGTAGGCCTACAGGTTCGTCGTGGGGAGAGCTTAAAGCCTTGCTCCGCTTTCTTGCCTGAACAGTTTGCAGGGGCCTCCCTTCAAAGATCATGTTCTAGTTGCGAGGGATCTGTTAACTTGAATTGCTGTTCTGAGGGGGACGTGCCATCTTTGAGGGGACCATGTTCTGCTTGAGAGGCCAACAGCCATCATGTTGCCTTTGTAATTTGTTTCTGCAAAATTTCAGGGGGATGCCTCTAAAACCAGGGGAACCTCCGTGAGTAGCTCACTGAAACAAGGAGAGCTAGCACCCTCCTTCAGCTTGCCGACGACCATGTGGTTAATGACTTCACTTAGTTTGGGGGATGTTCGAAGGCAATTGCTGAATGAACCCTTGTTTACAGACTGGGGAACGCTAACACAGCCGCCCCCGACGGACCATGGACTCGGCTGCGCGCACTGCGTGGGGGAGGGTTCCCAAGGGGGCTCTCTCTCTTTCTCAGCCGTTAGCAAGCAAGCAAGCAAGAGAGCGGGTCAACGTGATGGATGGGGTAGCGCCTTGCAGCGCGTCAAACCCCTAGCAAAGCAAAGCAAAGAGAGATTGGAGAGAGAGTAGCCATCTCGGATTTCGGCTCAAGCCCCGCGCGGTTCAAGGGGTGTGTGGCTCTCCGCCCTCTCCTCTCCCTTGTTTCTTCTCTCTTGCTTCCTGAGAATCTCTCCTCGATTCTTGCATGCTTAGCTTGAGTGGGTGACTTTTCATGTCAAAAGTTAGTGACGGCTTCGTGAAGGAACGTGTATATATGTCAACCGTTGCAATTACCTCTCGAAGGGCCCTTGAGCTAAAGGTGCAAGAAGTAGTGTACGGAGCGTCATTGAACGCTAACTGGTAGCGGAGCTGTGTCTAGCGCAGGGTGCAGTTCCTGGTGGCCGTTGGAGTGAAGTGAGATAGTGTGAAAGGTCCTTGGCTCGGTAGATCGAGGCAACGTGAGCAAAGCAGAGTGCAAGGCAGCTTTGGCTGGCACGTAGACCTTCGGGAAGGAGATCAGGCATGACCGTTGCAGGCCTGAAGTTTCGGAACAAGGTTTACTCTGCCACGCCCGCAGTGACGAAGAACGGAGCTTTCATCTATGACGGAAATCCTGCAGGTTACCACGAATGAGAGTTTCGTACGGAGCTCAGAATAGTAGCATATCAACAGGAGAAACGTCGCAAGAAGAAAGAGGTGGAGAGCAGAGAGGATTCTTCGTTCGAGTCATCAGTCGGCCGTGGAGGAGGAAGGGCCGAGAGATCTCACCGGAACTGAGAGCTCCAGCTTGAGGAGAGGGATTGATAGTGTCAGTGCCGTCCGCGCCATCGATGGAGAGGCCCACCGCAGAACCCAGTGATGTCATGCATGAGAGCAGCTCCGTTGATGGGTCGGTTGAAACACTCCTTCGAGTCATTAAGGCCTTCGAGGGGATGCATTTCAGAAGGCGAAAGATATTGGGATCACAGCTTTTCCAGCACCAGGTGGATTGAGAACCCTGGTTGCAGAGATAAGGGCTATGGTATTTCCCCTCGGTACCCTCGAGGCGCAGATTTTGTTCAGAAGCGGACGGCCTGTTGAGCCGACAGGGTGGCGAATCCATCGTCTCCTGCATAGGGAGACGCGAGAGGTGGTGGACTCTCATGACGCAACTGGATCCGAGGATCTCTCTTTCGGATAGTTTGAGAGCGGAGTTGCTATTGGAGTTGAGTGGGTTGTCGCGTGATCAGCAACTCGTAATAAAGGCTTGTGCAGCAGGTGTTCATTTGATACCGCTTTGCAAAACGTTTGATTCACCTAACCTGGAAGTGAGAAGGACCCCGGCAGGTGGCAGCCCAAAGGGTCTGGAAGGTGCGGATATCAAGCAGTGGAACCTTCAACAGCAGCGGACCTGGGTATGAGCGACAATGCAGAAACGGCCTAGGTATCGCAAGAACATAGGACCGATGATCACGATGATCATGCCGATGATTACGGTGAATGCCTGGACCGATTTGCCAGGACAGCCCACGGGGTACACGGCTCATGAAGAGGAACAAACCGTGTCCGATGAGGAAACAGCCGTGGCCTTGAACGCACTGGAGGCATGCGATTTCGAGAACTTCCCTGATGCGACAGCCCAGGCGGTTCAGCTTCAGTGCGCAGCTGAGAGGCAAGAGATCGCCAGGTGGTATAGGGAAGAAGGGATTTCCTGTGGTAAGAAGCAATCCTTCCTTTGAGGATCGGAAGAAGCGTGTTGAGGAGATTAAGTCCCGAAGCAAGTGTCTGAAGTGTGGACAAACAGGCCATTGGAGCGGTGATCCACAGTGTCCGGAAGGAGGCGGTGTGCAGCAAGAAAGGAGGTAAGCCAGGCAAGCAAGACCCCAAGCAGAACCCGAAGCCAGGAGCCAAGCCTAGCGACCACTCTCGAATACTCTAGTGACAGGGATGACAACATTGATTGCATCCACATCGACGGCGGTCCCTCAGACTCCAGCCCCCAAGCGTATATGGCATATCGCAGGGAATGCGCCACAGTCCCGAGGGCGGCCAGGAACGTGGCACGAGATTCTCTTCCTCCCGGAGGGGATCGCACATTCGGAGTATGACAGCACAAAGGACTCAGCTTCGAGGAAGTGCTGCATCGGTTTTCCAGGCTATGTGGTTTGGGGACGGTCGTTGAAGGCTGTTGGTTCGCGGGATTTGGAAGACATTCTGGATTGGGTTCAGAGTTACTACATACTCCACGAGCAGAGCATGGCAGTGGAGAGGTGCCGCTCAACGAAATGAGGAGCAGCTGGGTCTGACGGCCGGCATATTGCAATCCCTGCAGCATCAGCCCATAAGACCGTGAAGGGCAAGCCCCCGAACCCTCCATTGCCAATTAGGTGCGCGGTGTGCGCGAGCTTCTCTTACCTTGGAACCAATGCCTATGTCACGGTGAAGACCACTTGTAAGGTATGCGGGAACGTTAACAAAGAGAAGAAGGTGTTTGAGAAGAAAGACCCCACAAAATGCGCACACATCAACACCAGCAAACTGGCCTCTAACCGGGCAGCAGCAAAGACATTCTGCAAGAATTGCGGGCACGTAGAAGATGAGATGCCACAAGAAGAGGCCCAGAGGAGGCGAAAGGCAGCGCCGGAGATAGAGAGTGCTACTTCTGCGTCCTTCGATTTGATCTCCAACATCGGTCGGAATGTCACTGTTGCGGTGAAGTTGGATGCCATGCAGACCATGAGATTGGTTGAGGAGTTCAAGTTGCAGGTTGAGGATTACATTGTGTCACCAAACGTAGAGGGAAACTCAGAACCAACGCCGACACCCAAAGAACTCCTAGAGATTCTCAACGACCTCCTGGAAAAGAAGGTGATGGTACATCAGGAAGCAGCACCATCGGTGCGATCGTCACCGGACGAGCTGTCTCTGGCTGCACCGTCACGTGCAGCGGATTTTTGGATCACAAGACCGGAGATCGAGGACAGAAAGAGATAGAATAGAACGGCTTACTTGGCTGTGAAGCCTGACCCCTTGCCCTCAACAGTTCGACTAGTCCTTGAGATTTCAGCATGAGGATGTCTTCGGAGTCTTTGACGATGGAGTAAACAGTTCGGTTTGCGGTCGTACGTGGTTTGACAATGCTGAGGCGAAGTTACGGAAGCTCTGATTGGAGTTTCCGTGGCTGAGTGAAGGTGGAGTGTCGTTCAAGGGACTTGGTGGTTCGACGAAGACCTTGGGAGATAAGAGGATGGTGTTTTGCGTGAACTGTGACAACATTGATATGAACAGCGAGAACAAGAACCCCCTACGCCCTGGAATACTGGATTGCCACGTAACAACTGGAGATGACACCCCACTTCTATCCTTGCTTGCGCAGAGTACACTTGGCCTTCATGTGCTACATTCAGTGCAACAACAGAGAGATGTGGAGGATGCCCCTGTGTCGAACCAAGGGAAGCAACCTTTTGGCAGTGAATCTGACCGGTGGCTTCCGTGGCTTGATGCGCATTCACGCCCACTTAGGCCTTACCTCTGCCCTCTGGAATACAAGAACAAGAGAGGAACCATTAAGGTTGAACGGGTGAAAGCACAGAGCATCAACTGGTGCTGGGGATGAGAAGTGAAGATTGATGAGAGCGGCCAAGGACTAGGGGGCACACTGTATGTCGTCAAGGTGGTGGTTGCATGCGAGGAGATCGCCGTGGACCAAACAACTGGAGTCAGGCATGGGTCCCCAGATAGTCCAGTGGTCTTCACGCGTCCATAGGCGAGAGCCTTGATGAACTCGTTCAGGAAATGACCTCCGTCAGCAGACAAGCAGTTGGGTTCACGGACGATACGTAGCTTTGGAGCCACTGCCGCAAGTGGCTGGTTAAGGCACTCCAGATCTTAGGGGCGAAGCTGTTCAAGAAAGGCCTGGTCCTCAACGGCAACAAAACCCAAGCCGTCTGCAAGACCGCTCCAAGTCGGTCGGCAGAGAGAAGCTCAGGGCCCTTATGATGCTGGTCAGCTGGTCCGCCCTGTGGGGGTGCACGACATGGTCGGTGAACGAGTCATAACTCCAGTGTGCAGCTGGACACGTTGCGAGCTGCCAGAACATGCCCCCGCCTCTGGGTGACATGGAGTACCTTTTTACGCTCCAAGCCATATGAGGGCTCCATGGCCATGTTGCCAGGAGAGACCGCTGTGACAGTTGTTCTAAATGGCGAACCATCCGCTGATGGCGGGGTGAACAATTCCACACCAGGGAGCCAGACACGCCAAAAGGTTCTGCCCGGCACTGGACGTGGAGGAGCCCCACATGATACAGCCGTGGCGGGGGACGACTGGATGGCTTTCGCCCAGGACAGATAAGCCTGGAAGAACGCGGGAGAAGACTTTCTACGTGAACACGACCAACTCTGGGCGTCAGGGCCCCAACGCCCGCGCTTGCCTTCCTGCGGTGACACACTATGCCGAGGGGACGCTGGAAAGCTGAAAATCCCCAAAGCCGAAAAGCCCGGAACCCCAAAACCAGGAAACGCCTAAACGCTTAAACTCCTGAGCCCGTTAAATCCTTACAAAGCCCAAGAGCCCAAACGTTCCAAACCCGTAAAGCTCTAAAGCCTTAAAGCTGCGGGGGACACTTGGGGCCAGTCGGCAGTGATTGTTTGGTGTTTGTACTGGTTTGAAAACACGAGTGGCTGCGGTGCTTACAGGTTCAGGGCGGGCCTGGGCAGGCGCAGGCAGTGTCGTGCGAGACTCGTGTTCGGGATCGGGGAGGCAGGCAATGGGGGTGTAGAAATAAAGCTACTGGGGGAGTGGAGCTCCTTCAGTAAACAGGAGTAGGGCACAACGGCGTCGGGCAGCTTTGCAAATTACTGTCCTTGATACTCTGCTTTTGTTACTTAGCTCAGCCTGAGTAGTTGTTTCTGGAGCAGTCGCGGATGACTTGACTGGCTCTTGCAGGTTTGATATGGTCAATGGTTTAGGGGGGTGTGCTCCTGAGGGGAGGCGAGAGCGCGAGCAAACGGCTTAAGATTAGAGAGCAAGCGCAGAAACGTTGGCCAGTAAGAGGAACAATTGTGAGGATGGAGATCCTATCCATCCGCGCGTACATGCAGTCGTGAAAGTTGTGAACGAGCAGTTGGCAGCTTGGATGAAAACTTGGAAGACCTACTGACTGCTGCCGATGCTGGGAATTCCGGTCGCGATGGCTGCTTGTTGGCTCGGCAAATCAACGCGAACCAGATGATGCCTGTTGCTTCAGTGCGACAGCTGCAACTACCAAGGTGATAAGTGGATTCTTCCTCGACCCGGAAGATGATACGATGAGTCCTGCCAAGGCAGGGTCTCTGCAGACTCCGCAGGGAGCCGAAAGATACGGCAAAGGATTGCGGGGGGCTGAAAAATGCGCGTCGTACAGGTGCCGATCGGGCCCTTCCTGAGCGTTTACTTTGAAGGCATGTCGGTCCGCGAGGTGCATATTGCATTCGGCTTTAATTCCGAAAGATGGAATGATTCGGTATGATTGCATCTGACAGCAGGCTTCAGCTGCCTGGAAGGGTGGGCCGCCTGCAAGACCGAGACCTGCACCCAAAGTGAAGCAAGGCCAGTGTTCAGAGCCTCCGTGGAGCCTCCGCATCGCTTCAAAACCTGCAGCTGCAGGCCCTGCAATAACAGATCCGAAGTTAAAGGAGCTGCAGGCAGGCTTGCCGCCTGGATGGGAAGCTCCCCGGCTAGCAGCTGGCGTCTGTAGGTCCAGGAACGTGACGAAGCCTTGCCCAGCACTCCACCGCAGAAGTCCATGGCTTTTTCCGTTGAACTTGATCCCGCTTGTTTGCCGATTGAGTTTTATGTCCTTGCGTTCTACCCGGCTTCAGCCCGCAGCAGAATTACGATCACTTCGTGATGTGCAGAAAATACCTTACCAGTTTCCATCCGAGGTACGAGAATCTCGATCGAAAAAGGGCATTTACTTCTTTGCCCATCCCTCGTCTGGCCGCTCTCAGATGGAACGGCCTAGAGCGTGACTGGCTGATGGGCGTCGCGGCTGGTTCCCTTCCAGCGGAGATCTAGAAAGTCTAAGCTTCAAAGGTCTTGGTCTCAACCAACTTCAAGGTCTCCCCTGTCAGAAGGGAACAACCTCGCGCAATGGATGGTTGGTGTAAAGGCGCAGGTTCATTGGATGCATTAGACAGAACTGCCAAATGCCACCCATCTCTGTGTGCAGCTTTGAAGCATGTATATAGTCATAGAGTAAGCCGGAACGGGCTTAGAGAAGCTTGCAGATTACCGCTCATATCTTGTGTGAAAGGCCTGGGAGCGGAGGGTATCGTGGGACGAAGGCGCTTGCCATCAAAAAAGGGCATGGATGCCCGGGTTGGCGCCGATACCGTCCACTCAGTCCACTCTGCTCGTGGCCGTAGTTGGATGTCGATAATGTGATATGATCAGCAAGGCCGTGACAAGGGCCAAGCATGCTGACGCTGTACAGCTCCTCCGATTGCCAGCAGAGAACTGCTTCGGACGGGCGTTACTGATGCGAGCAATATACCTGCACAACTAGACAGGCGAGCGAAAGATTGTGGCGAGCCGCGGATCAGCATGCTGGTGTGAGTGTGTCGTCTGGCATGAAGTATTCGGCAATCGCAAGTTTGCACCAAGATCACCGCCTTCGACAAGAGCTACACCCAGTTTGAGCGACTTTACATGACCATCGTTGAGCAGCTCATGGAGGCAAGTGCGGTGCTCGATCCTCGCTGCTGAAATGCTTTTCGAATTAGTGGGCTCAGCCGTTGTGCGACCTGGCAGACGACGCTGGAGCCCTTGCGCAGTATGGCCAAAACGTGTGCTCCACAGCTGAATGTGCACACAGTCATCAAGAAGCCAAGTTCCCGGGGGTCGGCAGCCGCACCAGTCAAGAACATGTGCAAAGTAGATGAGAGGTGAAAGTTGTCAATCACTAGCGTCCACAAGTGCAGAATGTAAGGGGCTCTTTCGGGAATGCACGAGCCAGAACTGCTAGCAGATTTGGTCAAACCCAGCCGGTATGCAGCGCAGTGCCATGACCGCAGCGCAGCATGGCTTCTCGCGGCTATCGTGGCTTCGTCAAGAAGAGCCTATGCTTTCTGTCTGTATGCGGCTTAGCTCCTTACACGTTATGAGTCGCCGGCGGACTTGGTAATCTAATGCCGTCAAGGTGCTTAGCCTGTTTGCCGCTGCGCTGTTTTGGTCGTCATTCCTTGAGCCCCGCCCTTACACCACATTGCCTGCAAACCAACGGGCCACAAGGAATCACAAGGAACATCGCTCATTAGCAAGATGGCAAAGAACACTGTTGTGCTGGAGCATGTTTTCAGCACTCCATGGTGCACGTGCTGTCTCTTGACCGGCGTCTTTCCCCCAGCCGGGGGAAAGTGCGAGACCTTGCCTGATTGAATGTGAACGTGTCAGATATAGAGTTTGGAACGTGTTGAATGTGACGGTGCCAGCTTTGCATGGGCAGCTTGGCAGTGGTGTGGTTTGTGCAGCAAGGCAGGACCGGAGAGACTCTGAACTGAATGCAGTACGACAGCTTCAAAAGCAACTCACGCCTGCAGCTCAGTTGTGCCAAGAAAATTCCTTGACAGTGAGTGGTCATGGTGCTTCATGCTGGAGGCAAGAGAAGGGTCTGGTGGCCTCCTTTAGTGCAGCGGCCGCAGCAGCAGAAAAAAAGGCAGAGGCTGCCGCAGTCAAGCTCAAGGAAGCAGAGGCGAGAAAGCAATGGAATAGCGCGACTTGACTTCCGCTCGCTGCCCGACAGCCAGGCACAACTGGCCGCCAAGGCTGTCAAGGCAGCGCCTGGGGTCTCATAGGTTTGGAGGGTTGGCATGGGCTAGTTCTGAGAATCATGCGCAGTTTCGACTGTTCTTGTGGTGCCTTGGCTGGCTCCGGCTCTTCAGCAAGTTCGGATCGCTGCCACTTGTGCCCACTAGCAATCTTCAGTCAAAGCCAGAAGCATGCAACAACAGATTGGTGCTTGTCTGGGTGGTGTGGTGTTTCACCAGGTGCCGAAATGGCATCACAAGTTGTGCGAATAGCTTTTGAATGATACGTGTGTCGTCCATCGACGGCACGACTGTGGCCTCTGTCACACGGTCGCCAGATTTGGAGGTTGCTGAGATTCGAGACGCAGTTCTTGCCTCGATGAATGCCACCACCAGACCTGCTCGGCAATTCGACTTAGCCTCTTGGCCACACGTAGATGTCCAGGCTATTCATCGCCGTAGATACGGCCGTGAGGAACACTGTGGGCACCCGAGGTCTTGGACAGGCAGATTCTACACGATCGTGACAACGTATCTGCAGTAGCAGACTTTGACTTCGCTCAGCGCGGAGAAATTCTAATAAGCGTGGTTTGGAAGGCAGACCCGCACGTGCTAACAGCCTCGTCTGATGGAACCCTTACAATTTTTGATTCGGGCGGACGCAGATGTTTCACAAAAGGACCTTTCCAAGATCTTGTGGGCTTCGCATCCGCACGAACTTACTACCTGTGGTTGGCAAGTTGCCAGGACGGTCTTGTCCATGTTTTTGATGGCGACGAACACCTTTGCAGCTTCAGTGGCTCTCCTCGTCGAGCTCAGAACGTGGTGTTCTCACCGGATGGCACAGTGGTTCTCACCCCGGCAGGTAGCTGCACCGTGAAATTATTTGATGTGCGATCCGGGCAGTGTTTGGCGACCTACGACAGTTTCGAGTCACAGGTTTCCTCTGCGACATTTTCGCCAGATGGATCGGGCATTTTATGTACCACTGTACGAGGTTTCGCGGCAGTCTGTGCGGCTGCATCAGATAAGCAAGTTCACATGTCCCACGCCGGCAAGTGGAGCCGCTGTGCTCATTTCATCTCAGAAGGCAGCGCAATTCTTGCCGTGCTGCGAGATGGTACTGCCCGAATATTTGATGCAGGTTCTGGGTGTGTAACTTTGCACTTGCGAGAGAACGGGGTGGTGTGCGATGCTGCAGTCTCGAAGGACAAGTCAAAGGCCACTCTGGTATCGAGCGATTGTACGGCAAGGATATACTCCCTGACAGAACCACGCATTGCGTGTTCGGTGCTGGTTCGGCAACTTGGGGATTACATCCCTCCGCAGCCTGTCAGCTTCTCTGCTGATGGTACACGCATATTGTTTGCATTGGATTGTTGCCATGTTAGAGTTCTCGATGCAAGCACCGGCGAGTTCCTCAGCCTGTGCGAAGGCGGAATGCAGCATATCACTGCCGCCTGCTTTTCGGGGGATGGACAGTTCGTGCTGGTCTCGTATTATCGTTCCACTGTAAAAGTCTTTGATGCAACAACTGGTAGCTGTGTGAGGCAATTGGATGGTTCCCCGCATGCCTTTCTACTAGCCGACTTTGCATGGGACTTGCCCGCACATCTTTCCTCCAGCGGAAAATTGTGCCTTTCTTTCGCTTGTACGTATACAGATTGCCTCAATAATTTGTCGTAAACTGCTTCCGCGACGGCCAGGTGCGTGACAGTCCGCCGTCGCTGAGTTCAGCGACACAGCAGGAGTCTCTGCAGTCCGCCTCGTCACCATAGACGTCTTGTCGGTCTTAGATTGTGAGGAGCCAGCTCCGCTCGACTCAGCGCCTCCGCCAGGTCACTACACATCCATAGGCCTCGGCATTCGATGGCATCGGATGGCATCCTGCATCTCATGCCCTTTGCCTCTCGGGAAGGCTTGGCTGCCGTGGCAGTGCGGCCCCGAGACTCTGCGCATGGCGTAGTCCCTGGCTGCATTTGCAACCCTGGGGGCATAAGGACAAGAAATACCAGAAACGATTCGCCATCTCAATTGCTAGCCAAAGATGCTACGCAAAGAAGCACGGTTCGAAACTCAGTTGACTGTGCACGCGGAAGACCGCAGCTTCTCTGTTCCAGATGGCATGTTGGGACGAGACGACCCAGTGATGCACATGACCCAGACTTGCAGAAGCGCGGCTCAGTTCTGATAGAACATCCGGTCAAAGGGGCCGCTGTCTAGACGGAATGGCGATAATACATGCTGCCGGGGACTGGGACTCTGGCGAAGTCGTTGCTGTCAGAATGGTGAGCGGCAGGAAGCAAATTGAGGACATCAAGCGCATTGCTGGCTTGCAAGAGGCCACTCTGTCCTTTGAAGAGAAGCAGCAGATCGAGCAAAGACGGGCACAAGCAGCCGAACGAAAGGACCTCTTGCGAGCACAGACTGAGCGCAAGCGACATGAGGCCAGTGAACTTCAGTCGAAGCTCGCAAGGCGAAGAGCCCGAGAGCAGATGCAGGATGACTGCATGGAGACTGAGGCCATCTCCCAGAGGGTGGTCACAACCGAGCCGATGGCATTGGTCGAATCGCTTGACCAGCGCGGTAACTCGTTTTCCACAGCTCCAACTCAGAACATCCAAGCTGACGTTGTTGTCCCGCCTACGCAAGAGCCGCGCAGCACACAGCGGACACATGAGCCCGTGAGTGTCAAAGAGCACGAAGTTGCTGCCGATGGTGTGAGCTTAGTCGAGGATGCATTTGCTCAGTCTGTCGCTGTGCATGAGTCATCAAGACAAGTCCAGCCAGAGAACCAATGCTGCAACTTGCAGTGAGACGACTTCATGGTTGCAAGCTGTCACTTATGTGAGCCCTCGGATTTGTTGTTCTTCACCCAGTCTGCGATGGGTTCAAAGCCTTCTTTTTTCTTTATCCTGATGAAAATGTATGCGTAGAGACAAGGGCATTTCATGCCATCTGCTCAGACCAAGAGGCTTGACATCCGTGCCAGACTCTGCTGGTCGACAGCCCCAAAGCAGGGCAGAAGGCTGGAAGGCAAGAAGCAAAAGCAGCACTGCATCAGCCGCAAGACGCAAAGTGGTATACCTTCTTCTGGAGTTGATACATCCCTCTGCAGGCTATGAGTATGCGGTTATCGACCCTTCGGATGCCTGGCTTGAAGGGAGGTTGTCGTATCCAGAGTAAGGGCTTCAAAGCGAGCATCTGCAGCTGCTTCTGAGGAGTATCCGGCCTGTGACCAGTTTCGTGATTTCTTTTTCCGAAAGCATTGCTCCGTGGCACGTTTCCTCGAGACGACGTCGGGCGATCACATTCTGCGCCTTGACGGCTTCCACAGTCGCCACAGTCACAAGCCGTTCCCCCCCAAGATTACCAAGCTTCCAGGTTTGTTTTCGACGGTGACAACCCCGTGGTTTGGCTCGACAGAGGCCCGGGCCTGGAAAGGGCATGCGAATGGAGGAAGCGCGAGCGACCTGAAGGCTTGGACCATTGGTTGAAGGAGGTGGCCGCAACGGATGTTGTCCTGTACGAGCGCTGGATGAATAACGAGATCATGGTCCGCAGCTCAGGGTTTTGGGGCTTAAAGAGGGGGGCAGGTCTATGGTTTGAGGGTGGGGGCAGCACCGTGTGAGGCAGGAAACTATGCGGTGAGGAACTCGGACTTTGGCATCCGCTTTCTTGACGATTGGGCCAGCTTTGAAGAGGAGCTTCCAAGAAGCGGTGCCTTGGCCGCAGTTGCAGCCACACGGCAGCGGAAAGCCCCCTTGCGCCAAAGGCTACCACTCCTCCGACAACGGTGCCATTCACCTACACTTGCTTCGCGTACTGGGCTTGAAGAATGAGAAGCCCTGCAAGTACCAGTGGGATCATCTTGGAAGCGATCGTGATCATATGGACGAATACTATGGCTTCGTTACTTGCGCAAGGCCATCACGACCGGCAGCTCGTTGCATTTCTGGCCTGGCTTCGCGAAGTGTTCGTTGCACAGGCTGGTGATGGGTGCCCCAAGACGGTGGAAGATAGCTGGCACGCCGCGTACCACCACAGCATATAGCTCCAGCCGGTGACATGCTGTAGTCTCAAAATGTCTCAGTTCTCCGCACGTGTGTGGCTTGTCTAAGGAGTCACGATCCTACCTCGAGGCCATGCCTGGGCAATCGATGGTGGCGATGCTGACAGCCACGTGTCATCAGTTGGTGCAATTTCACATCATGGACAGAAGACGGAAGCAAACTATCGACAGATCCTTGGCCGAAGTCACCGCGAGCTTTGTTGGCACGTGGAGGCTATGTAATGAAGCACCTGCCTCCTTACCAAACCTGGCACAACGCTTGCTCGAGCAAGGTATTTTCAGGACAGCTTTGTCGACAACGGCGGCTCCGACTGCGATGCGATGGTCAGGAAAGGCTTCTATGTCGACCCGCGGCAGTACGGCGAGTCGCTGAAGCTTGTCTGAACGAGCTATAGTTCACGCTTGTTAAGCTTATATACGGTTGTAGAACAGGGGTCGCAAGAGATTAAAATGGTTCGTCAAGCAATACAGAAGATCCAAGAAAGGCATACATCCAAATCGAAAGCACCTGGCTTTCTTTTGGCTTCTGCGGCTTCCCGGCTTCTCGGCCGGCGGCTCTTGGCCTGTATGGCTTCTTGACTTGTCGACCGGCTTCTTGATGTCTTGACATCTTGGCTTCTGAGCTGTGTTTCTGCTTCTCGGCTCCTTGGCTCTGTTGGCTTTTGGCTTCGTGGCTTGTGGCTTGTCGGCCGGCAGTTTTTTGGGCTTGTCTGGCTTCCTGGCTTGCGTTTCTGTTGCTTTTGTCAGGCTTTGCACCGCCCTGTGCTGTTGCATTCAATTTGGGTTTATGCTTTCCAGCCTGTTTGTAGGTTTTAGCCATCTTGGTTTTCTTTTTTGATGTGCCGCTTTGTTGTCTTTTCAGCTATTGCTTTGCGCGTTTTTCTTTCCTGTTTCTTATTGCAGTCTGCGTCCTGCTTCTTGATTGGCGTTTATTTAGCCTTGCCGTTTCTTTTAACATCGACTAGCAATGACCACCGCCACGACGGGTCAGGCTGAAAGAAGGAGGGAAAGTAAGAAACAATTGATGTAAGAGTTGCTTTAATAATTCGGTTGACAGTAAAAATATTCCCTGGCCCAGACTGTCCCGGCGGAAGACTACTTTAGATTGTGCACCCAGACCGGACCAGATCCGGCCAAACAATTGATGTTTGGACCCGGGTGATATTTATAAAGGCGTGACAATTAAAATATTCCGTGCCAGAAATCCCCAAAATTGAGAGCCTGGCTTGAGGAAAAGCGTAATATTTTACAGAAAAGGAGAGAGAAGCCTAGACGCAGTTCCTCAGACATCTCGCTGAACTACCAGCTGGCAAAGTGCAGTTCCAGAGACTTTTCACTCCACCCTTCGGCAAGCAGAGCAGATCCGACAGAAGCTCCAAGTTTTCGAGAGCTGCAGGCTTTCGCATGAAGCCAGGGACTCCGGATTCCAGGAACCAGGAACTGCAGCAGCTATTCTTGAGGCATCTGCCTGATCAGAATCCCTTAGCCATTTCACAAAGCCGGCAAGGGTATCCCTTACGAGCCCTCCTGATCGCAAAAAAAAATGGGTGACACTAATGACTCCCGCTAGCAATGGGCCTCAAGCCAGAGGCTCTGGTATTCGAGAGCTGCAGGCTTTGGCATGAAGCCGGGGATTCTGGTTTCCAGGAACTGCAGCAACTACTACTACTACTACTACTACCACGACGAATACTAATACTACTACTACCACGACGAATATTAATACTAATGCTAGTACTAATTCTAACACTAGTACTAGTACTAATGCTAATAGTAATGACAATACCAAAACCAAGACCAATACTAATACTAACACTAGTGCTAAGACGACTACTAATGCTAATACTAATGCAAATAAAAATACTAGTACTAATACCAATACTAATACGTACTAATACTATTACGTACTAATACTAATACTAATACTAATACTAATACTAATACTAAGACTTACTGGTACTACGGACTCCCCTCCCCGCCCCGCCCCCCCCCCTCTCAAAAAAAAAAACAAAACGACCACCGCAACAGACCCTCGACAAAACAACCTCCGCCCCGGAGGGTATTATGACAACCCAAACATTAGAGGCAGAAATCAACAAACGAATCAAAGAGCCAAAGGCCAGGAGTAAATGAAGAAGCAAGCAAGGAAGAAGGCAAACCGAACAGTGAACGACCGCACTAGCAAAAGACTAACGATACAGCGAAGTCGCAGAAGAAAGCAGAAACAGCAGGAAGAGAGGAAAGCAAGAACGAAAAGAACACACGAACGCAAAAACGGACCGATAAGCAAAGAACGCAAGAAGGACGTGGGGGAGTAGCAGCAATAGCAAGAGTAGTGAAATGGCGCCGGTTGAAGCCTTTGTTATCCTGTGGCACCTTTTATTCGATAGGTTGTGCTGTTGATATTTGTCTTGGGTTTCCTTGATCCTAGCGTTTTTGAAGTTTATTTCATCCGACAGCTCGCAAAGGTACCGTTTGTCGTAACCCCTGCCGCGTAGGTTGAGCAAGCTGAAAGCGCGTACTGACGGCGCCATGCTAGACTGGACTCGACAGCACGTCCCGTCCTGGGACTTCGCCTACTTGGGCTGCAGCTTGCTTCCAAGCAGGAGTGGGGAATTTCAGCGCTGTTGTCGGCGTGATCCGCACGAAGGCATGGCGACCTTGTCCTGCCGGCCGCTGGATGACGGTGAAGCCCTCCCCGTCAGCATACCCAGGCGCCGGCTTCGGACTTCTGGCCGCGGTCACACAAGTCTGCCGTAGGCCGATACAGTCGTCGATTCCCTTCAAGAAGGTCCCGAAAGATGCCAAATTCGAGGCTCCCACGGCTGCAAGATGTTGGCCGTTGGCGCTTGAAATCGCCAAACAGTGCCCTCTGAGGTGTGTGCCGGAGAGTGGGAGACATCTGGTCTGCATGTGGGGCCGTCACGTGGGGGATCCTATCCTCTGCTTCTGCCGTATGCAGCTTAGGACCTGCAAATGCGTGGGCTTCGCCACATCCTCAGTCACCTTGCGTGTGGGCTTGAGTTCATTTGTGATATCATTTGTGGCTGCGGCTACGGACCTGAAAGATGCGACACCACTACCTTAACCTTGTGTAGCAGATTGTAGCAGCAATAAGCAACTCATGGGAAATCATCTGCATGGCCTACACTTGCATCGCCTGTGTTAAAATTGAAGAGGCGCGAGCGCCAAGTCCGTATCACTACGGCTTCCTGAACCCTCATATCTGGTTGTGTGCTGTGGGTTCTGCCGCCCCCCGTCCCCCCTCATGGTATCCCACCCCGCTGCCCGAGCCGACCTGAAACTTGAAGCCTCAACCCTGCAGTCGAAAGACCCTTCTACGGGGAGGGAACCAAACTTCGAAGCTCAAGGCCCAAGCAGTTCCAACAGGATGGGAGGAGGGATAACCACACGCAGAACCATTATCAGAAGGCCCAAACCACACGGCCACTCCACACAGGACGGGCATCTTGCGGGGACCGGGGCGCAACCGCATAACGGCCAGCTGCAGCTCAGCCACCTTCGGCACTGCAGGGTAGAAAACTCAAAAGACCCTTCTTCTGAGGTGTATTTCGGAACGAAAACGCGCCGAAGTCCTGTCGTGGAGGCCCCAACCTGAGCATGTACTCTGTGGAGTGTTCATGGAGCAGCGTGGAGCTTAAGTAGGGCTTTCTCAAGTGGTTCCAGGTCCAAGCTGGCGAAGGCAAGATCGACTGCCGCTCCCGTGTTGCAAAGCATCGTACGCAGACGGACGACCGGAGTTTATCACACGTCTGACATCGTCTGACCCAATTTCCTTTTCGAGCGACTCCGCAGTTGACCAAAACGTTTTGCTCGGATGAAGCGGCCAGGGTTTTAGCACGCGCTTTCCCGCATTATTTAAACCTCTAAACATGATCTTCCGGGAGCATTTGGCCCGGAATGATCCCGAAGAGGAGCTTACAAGGGACAAGACTACAGTACAATTAGTCTAATTCGTCGCGATGAGGGCAGGACTCGGGATCGCCCAACAGTAGACGGTAGGGACCTTACCCAATTATGTAACCTGCGTCGAAGCCCTCTCTCTCTGTCGATGATCCCAGCATCTGAAACCTTACGACTGCAAATGGGATTGTGTACTCGAACATGCGAGCTGAGTTGACTGCAAGAACTGCAGCCAACAGGGGCCTCAGGAACGTAGGACTGCAGGCGCTGCCGAACAACTGCATGCTGCAGCAACCGCAGGAACGTAGGACTGGGGGGTCTGCGGCCTGCCAAAGGAAGGGTTTAGAAGAAAGAACTGAGCAAAGTAAAGATTCAAAGCCAAAACCCCCCAGGACTAAACATTTTTCGTGGAGAGTATTACCTAAGTGTTGCCTGGCAGTTCAAAAATTGTCGCAGACATGGACCCGTGCCCGCTGCTTGCAAAGGGCAATTTCGCTAGTTTCTCACTTCTTTACCGAAGCATTCTGGCTGGCTGTTTGTTGCCTCCTCTTTTTTACGATGGCGGACCTGTGGTCTTCGCATAATCAGAGACGGGACAAGAGCTGGCTCGAAGCCCGGGCTACTGAACTACGGCTTGGGTTGGTCGTGTAGCCCACCAAAGTCGGAGCCAGATTTTATGGACGGTGGGCACGGTCGGTGGTGCCGTCCTGCCGGCTAAGTTTGTAAACGGCATATTCTGGCAGCGGCGTTTGGCACAGGCTCTTCAGTTGCTTGATCCACGCCTGGTTTCGTCGCTCACCCTATTGTCATCCAGACATCGCTGGGCAGTATGGGCCAAATGCTAGCATCCCTGTATTCCAAGCTGAACCATCACTAGACTCCAGACTAGACCCTGCTCCAAGCTATCCGATGGTTTTGCTCAGAATGCTCGGTGTCCTGCCCCATGGGGAGGCCAAGGCCTGCAAGGGTTTCGTGGGTGGGCTTTGTGCGTAACCCGCGGGGTTTGGGTCATCTACCGTGCGCTCAGCACAATCCACAAGACACCCCGTTTACAGCGACTCACTATTGCCACTACTGTTGCTGGCAAGTTGCTTGCGTGCTGAAGCCTGGTTGCAAAATCTGCCGCGATCTAAGGTGCTGATAACTTTGACGGGGATCCGGCCATTGGCGAGATCAAGAAATGCCACTGCGCACCTGCTGCCGAAAAAACGCAGCTGTGCAAGCTGACGGCCGTGCCTGCTTCCGCCAGTTGGCAGATTCCATGGAGCGGATCTGACGTGCTTTTGGCCCTTGCCGTCGAGGTGCGATGCGCTCCTCAGCACATCTGGAGATCCCTTCCGGGAGGCATGCCGACACAGTTGTTGCCGAATTCTTCGCGCAGACCGACTCATGCTGGTCCCAGGTTCAAGCCGCTTCTCTATGTCAGCGCCTGGGCCTCCTGAAGCAAGATGCCGCCTGCTCAGAAGACCCAGAAGTAGTCGATCTCCAGCATCCCGGCCTTGATCGGGCTGAGCGTCGGGTGATTCTCGAAGCCGGCAGGTCGACTTTGGGGGCAGGAATCAAGTCATGCATTTTGACTCCAGCCTCTTGGAAAAGGCGCACAGAGCCCGGGACCCGACCCAACCTCTGCATTTGGATTTTTCAGACTTTTTCGTTACGTGTCGGCCCGACGCATGCCTAAGGTCCTCCAAATGGAAACATATGCCGAGGCTCTGTGGTCTTGAAGATCTAATGCATCTGTCTGAGTGCCCATGACAGGTGCAAGAGATGGCACGTGCACTAATTCAGGACTTCGAGTCTTTGTGCAAGGTGCGGCATGTTACGATTGATATCTGAACGAAGCTCGTCTTGAGACGTCTGAGCATGGCAGGTTGTGTTTTCAGCAGCAGGCTTAGCTGTCTATCGGAATGCAGAGCAAAGCGGCCAGGTCCTGTTGCACTTAAATGACAACCAAGCCAAGCCGGAACTCAAAGAGAATGCCGAGTGCTGAGCCAGCGGCGATGTGCAGCTGTATGGGTTGCAATTTTGGGTCAGCCTGTAACGAATTGCGAGGCAGAGTTGACTTCTGCGATCTTGAGGCTTGAGCAGGCTTGCACGTTCATGGCATCGGCAGTGGCCATAAATTTGTGGGTCACATGGAAGAGGTATGGGCTGACTGCCAGTTCATCCTTCACCAGGCAGAGCCGTGGCAACACAGACTCAAACATCTTAAATATCGAAAGGAAACTTTCGAGCTGTCGCCGATGCATCGAGGATGCATCATGATCTGAGCCCTTCTTCGCACCAAGCCTTTTCGTGAGAGCCGTTGCAACCAGGCCGAATGCGAGCCCATGATGAAAGAATTTCGCATCACAAGGGCAGAATCTGTAGGCACCGAGAAGCAGGGCTAAGCAGGGATAAACGGGGAGAGAGAGAGAACAGCAAAAAATGCTGTCGCGCCGGGCGGAATTAGCATTTGCGTCGTTGGTATCTTGTTCGGGAGTGACTCCCAGGACTGGATCCCGGATTCCTTGCTTACATTTTAGGGCTGTTCGGGTGCACGAACATAATTAGCTTGTCGGAGTTTTCGGGCTACCCGTGCTTTTAGCAACCCCTGATGCCTGTGAATCAGTGAGAGCATGCAAGCAAAGTTTCTTTGTACTCAGGGCTGCCTGGACTTCATCGAGGTGTTGGAGAGAGAAGTCTTGCCCCAGCTAAGTCCGATGTGCCTTTGGCATGGTACTTTCTGGCTTGGCCGTCTTCGGCCTTACGTCATGTGCCTTCAGGTTGAGATGGCAAATCGGAATTGCGCTGGGCTGCTCTGAAGGTCAGCATCTGCAACAGGTATGCACGCAGAGCTGGGCTGACTGCAGCTTGCCTTCACAGGAAGACCTCTGGACCCCGATGTTACGCAAGCGGACCGCTGCCGTTGGAGAGATTGCTTGCATTGGTGTTCCACGGTTGCAGCCCTGCACTAGTGCAACGTTTACAAGGACATTAAGGCGGCGAAGGTGTCTTCCCGAGATTCGATATCAGATTTCTGTGGAGAAGTCTCTGAAAGAGCTCAGCTGCAAGGTGGCGCTTTACCAGACGGTGCCCATGATGGTCTACGTGGACTGACCCGCTCAGCTCCGGGAGCTCCGGGCCATGAGCGCCTTGAGCCAGGAGGAGCTTTGGCGGGATGCCAACCCAGAAGAATCCAGCTGCCAGCGACCCCAGCTGTGTGCAGCACGTGCAGTCTTTCAGCCTGCTGTCTTTCATGGTGCATGCGGGGTGTGCCCTTTTCTAGGCGTGTACTTGCTCTTTGGCTGCCAGTATGGAAAGGGCGCACGGCCTTCAAGTTAAGTTGCCAAGCAAACTCACGGATCCATCTGCATGAACAGCATGATGTGAATAAGGGTGTGCCTGTTCAGCTGCATGGCAATGGCTACCACCCGCCGGCGATGCAATCTGTCGAGGCTTCGTCTTTCCAGCCGTCGCGACGTGTGCAAAAGAGGAGACTTTCTGCCACAACATGCAGCTCCTGTTGTTTTGCTCTTTTTCTTCTCTCAAATCGTTAGATCTTCGTAGATCCTTTGTCTTCCCTTGCTGGCGGATTGCGTTGTCGTCTTTGTCTTCAGGGTGTTTGGATCTAGAGCATACTTGTGTCAGCTCTCATGTGTAGATCAGCGTCTGCCATCGGGGACCAGAGCAGGATCCTCAGGAGCCGGATCTATGACGACTCCAAGCCGACGGGCCTTCGAAGTTTGCGGAGGTTGCAGAGCCCAAAGGAGCTTACGGCCGCACTCTCTGAGCTTGGGCGGAGGCAGCACTGGCATGATGCACTCAGCGCAATGCAGATTCTGGCTGATGCGGGCCGTTCCCGCTTGGTGAGTATTGAAGCACTCAATGCTGCCATCACCTGCTGCAGCAGTGGGACTTGGCAGGGGTCGCTGGCGCTGCTCAGCACAGCGAGTATTATGTCACTAAGGCATTCGCTGGTAACTGCAGGAGCGGCAATAAAAGTTGCAGGAGCACAAAGCGCACATGGATCACTGGCCGAGCAGTCCAATTGGCACAACGCGCTGCATCGCCTATGCCGCATGCGCCAGCACAGCATGATCCCCAACATCAGGCACCACAACGCAATTCTATCTTGTTCGCTCTCTTGGTCGACAGCACTCTGCATTTTCAATTCCGTCTTGAATTATGAATTAGAACCCACAGAATTCACGAGTAGCCTGCTCATGAAGAAGCTGGAGACCAACTGGCCCTTGGCAATCCACAGCTTCCTTTCGATGCAGCGCCTGCGCTTGGAGCATGATGCCATTAGCGGAAATGCAGCACTAAGGGCCGCCGGCGCCGGCAATCATCGCCGCGTGTCCCGCGAATTCTTGCAGCATCTGATCAGTGCAGGAGTTCCAGTGGACTCTGCTACTTGCAGTTCCGCCGGCAGTGCTTTGGATTCAGAGCGGATTTGGGATTTGCTGCAAGATGTGCGTGCATCGGTTGTGCAACCCGACCTTGGGGCCTACACGTCGGTTTTGGGAGCTTTTGACAACGATGGTCGCTGGGAGGCGGCTCTAGGAGTTTTGCGATCAATGGCCATGGACGGGGTCCAGGCTCGAATGTAAGAACAAACAGAGATGGGAGAACTTTGCTTGTGACACGTTGGGACATGCTTGCACCGAGGCAGGCCTAAATCCATATGCAGCCGCACAAAGTGCATGTGAAAGATGCCGGCAGTGGATGGAAGTGGTGGATCTGATTCGGGCTTTGAAGGGCTCGAGCGCGCAGCTGGATCTCGTTGTCCGTTCGGCGGCCGTCTCTGCTCCGCAAACAGGCCACGTCTTCCCAAACTGCGTCTGAATCGAACCTTGAAGCGACCGTCCCCCTGGTTGCACCTCTCCTCTCGTCTGCTGTTAGCTCCCTCGAGGCGGGAGCTGGCGCATTGCCTTGCAGAGCTTCTGCCAGCTCGCCCTGGAGCGGACGTGCGCGCGTGTTGCTTTGCGCGCTCATCTTGCCGCCGCCAGAACGCTAGCCCTAGGAGACCCTGGCCCCGGACGTCGTGTCTCATGGAGCTGCAGGGTTCTCAGAGAACCCTTCGCTGTGCATAGCACCGCCGTCACTACTCACAACTCTCTTTGCGTACTGGTCTGCGGCTCTGCGGGGTGTCGTCTCCACCAAGGTTCTCAGCGCAGCAGAGGCCGGACATCAGTGGCACTCTGCGATCTCCGCCCTCTGGAGCTGGAGCCGCCAGTTCTTGCTTCTTGGATTTGGGCTAGAGCAGAAGTCGAAAGCCTTCAAGTCCTCCAGGTACATGCGGCTTTGGGGCACACTTTTTTCGAGCGTTTATCTCGAGACGGGACACCAGCAAGGGACTGGCCTCCAATCCTGCGAAGTCAAGCACTTTCGGGCGCTGGCCCGAGACAGAGGGACATCATGTTTCCGCTGTCCCGGCCATTTCAACGGTCGGCAAGGCCCGCACACTCCTTGCATAAGCTGCGGCTGGGCGCCGTTCGAGCTTTGTTTTGCTCACATAACCACTCGTGCAGGCTATGTTGGGGACTAAGTCAGCGGCTTGCACCAGGTCTTTGAGATGCGCACCTGTCACGACAAGTATAGTGATGTCAACGATGAAGTGCAAAGGCGCCAATGAAAGCACTCAACCCGAACTAACTCGCAGATCGGTTTCCGCCGGCTGCTTCTGTTTCGTCCCCAGGCACCCGTCACATGTTGTGTTGTCCTTGATGCAGGCATGCCCAAGTGCACGAGAATAAGATAATATCGTGTGCCACCACGTCTATCCACGTCTTTCATCAAGCAGCAGAAGGACGTCCATCCTCTCCACTGGCTTCGTGAGCGTCTCCCTTCCAAATTCCGCCGACCGCATTTCGAATCCCTTAAGTATAGGAGTGTGTCAGCCCGAGTGTTTCTGTTGTGGGTCCGAACCGTTTAATGTTTCCCATACTCTCTTCGACTGCCAGCATTTCGAGCGTATTCGTGAGTGTCGTGTGGTCGGGCAAGGAAACCGGACGTCATATCATGCAATTCGGCAGAGCCTTGGCTGATGCAGCTGCTATTGTATGAGCTGCATGACGACAGCACTTCAGTTAACACTCCTGATGATGACTGGCTCAGGTGAGTGCCTGCGAAAAGGCGAAGTCCTGGGCAACAGCTGTCAATATCGTTACCCAAGACATGGCGTGGTGTCGAATTTTGCCTGATGCCATTAGTTCCCTGTCTCTGAAAGAAGATCCGTACTTGAGCAGCAAGCGGGCATAGGCTCAAAGGAGCAGTGCATCTTTCTGTGCCCTTGCTTTTCTCTCTGAGGTTGTAGCTCTGCCATCCTGGCATGCACGGACACGAGCTGCTGGGGGCAGGGGCTCCTCATGGTCTCGTTCGCACAGCAGCAAGACATCACGCCACAGGCAGTGAGAGCGCATTTCTGGTCTGAGCTGCCAGCATGGATGTTCTCCATCGCATCGACAGAACCCCGTGTGAGGTAGGCAGTTTCGGCGCGCTACTCACAGAGTGTCGCTTGGTGCAATTAGACCTACCAGGTCACGCTTCCAAAGCAAGTCTAGCCGAGGTGAGCGTGCCAGTCCTTCTTTGGTCGCTTGCCAGCAGGAGCTCCTCAGTGGATCCTTGCGGGCGGCCGGACTGGACCAAATCCTGCCAGAGCAGAGAAAAGTGCCAGTGCCACGTCGTACAGCTTCTTGAAAGAGAGGCGTTGATGCACTGCTTCTCGGTGTCTCCACTATTACCAGGTCGCAAACTACGCTTCGTGGAGCTCTGCTGTCCTCAGGAAACGCATTTCTGCTTCACAAGCTGGCGAATGCTGATGACCGCACTGTGTTGTGGGTGTGAGGATGACCGGCACCACACTTTGCGACGGGACTTCGGAAAATTTGATGAGAAGAGATTCAATGAGCCCCGATCTCATCTTCTTGTGCTGCACTTGCCCGAAAAGCTCGGTGGCACTGATGATCGCGACGATCGAACTGAATTCAAGCGGTTTCCCGTTCGAAGACACCGGGGCTGAGCTTCCTTCCAGAAGTTGCGCAGCACGGGAGCTCAGAACTGATATTGGCTCAACATGGCACTTCAGATTCCGGACCTTCATCACTGACGACGAGCAGAATCGCGGCTCGGGGCTTGGGTGGCCTCCGCCAAGTAGCCAAAACGTTGATCAGCGCGAGATACTCTATACCCAGGTGGAGCAAACCGTCAGACAGACTTCTTCCGTCTGGTCTTGGGCTTACTCGCATTGCAGGTCGGGTGGCTTGAACGTCTTTGCGGACCGTCCAGGTCTACAGACAATTGAAGGCGGTGGCTGCTTTTCCAGTCCAGGCATGGCACGCAGCTTGAGATATCAGAAAAAGAGATGAAGCCATCTGCCGGAGGAGAACTTTGCAGCAGCCGTTCTGGCAGCGTCCAAAGCGCAGGATCTCACGGCACCTGGAGTCAGCGGGTACTGCGCCCCTCAAGACGTCCAGCATGTTTCAATATGTTTCATAGCTTCATGTTTACCGATGTATGTGATAGACTTAAAAGGAAACCGCGTCAATCTTAATCCTTGAAGTTTGCATACGCCCTTTCGCAAATGAGCACGCGGGTCAGGCTCATACACCTAACACACGCAGTAGCAAAGGCCTCTGGCAGCGTGACTGTAGTTTGTTTTCTTTTTTCCATTTTTGTGGAATTAGCGTGATCGGCTTTCATTTTCAGCCTTGAACCTCTGCACACCGGCCCGGCGTGAGCTCCCATGTGTGGGCATTCTTCTTGCCTTTACAGGTCTTTGTGCGTACCATCCCAGATTTTGTTCGCAGCCGGGACCCCCGTGCTGATGTCGAAAGCATTCAACCCGGTCAAGAGGGGTCCCAGGAAAGGGGAGAAGCTGTCACTCTCCAAAATCGACTGGAGCGACATTCAAAAAAGTAAGCGGAATTGGTGACATCCAAGACTGCCAGATCGAAACGTTTTGACCCGCAGTTTGTGTTTGTTTTTTGCTGTCTTGGCGAACTCATGCCGGGCACACGGGGGCAAGAAGGCATGGTGCTGCTTAACCACATTTCTTGACTCGACGAGCGTAGACTTCGTCATATGCAGCTGGTTGAAAGCAGAGGTCGCTGACTCACCAAGCAGCATCGGCCGGGGGTGTTGGTAATGCCAGGCGTTATCCAACCTAAGCGATTCTAATCTCGAGGAAGGACGCAGGCCGGGATCAGGCACACTGTTGCGACAGTTAAGCGGAGCTATACCCGCGTAAATGTTCAGCTCTACGCCACGGCAGCATCCACATAATTCGGTTTTGATGTTCTTTGGAGAATGTCCAGTCCTCAGCTGGAACAAATGCTTCAAGTTTGTTCCGTTCTGTAGAGAGCAGGAGAATCTGAAGCAACCCGGACTCAGTGACCAAGACATTGCTGTGGTCCAGCGTGAACAAGAGCTTCTCGAGGCAGCCTCAACGCCTGGAGGCCGTTAAAGCTTAGAGTCTTTGAGCCTCCTTCCTTGCAGGGCGGCGCTCGGTGGATCTGTCTCATGCTCAAGGTCCAGGCCGCATGGGATCGTATAGGCGGTTTACAAAGATCTACGGAAACGATCTGCCATCGGCATCGCGTCCAGGCCGTGGCCCCCGGTTTGTTTCCCAAGAAGCCGCCAGGGTCACAGATAGCACTTGATGCTCCCGCCTGGAGAAGGCGTCGCTGTTCTATTCTCTAGACAGAGAGAAAGACAAGGAGAAACAGAGGGGTGGTGCATGCACCCTGCAGCACTGCAGCTGGCATGCCTGTGACAGTGTGAAAGTTGCTGTTAGCACCGTATGTCTTCTTTTCCAGAACGCCCGGTCGAAGGGCGGAGACGGGGCCAGGTTGTGTTGTGTTTCGTGTTCGGTGTCGGGGGGCCTCAGCTCAGAAAATCAAAGCTGACCCAGCCAGCGGTAACGCCCACAGCGATCCATTCCGTAATGCTGAAGCAGGCCAATGGCCTCAGGGCAAGAGGGTCACTTGGATGACCCTACGCTCAACAGAAAACAAGAGAGTGAGAGAGAGAGTCGTGTCTTGGGCGCGCGCGCGGAGTGGGTAGGGGTTCCTGCCTGCTCTTGACTGTGTGGAAGAAGAAGAAGAGTCGTGTCTTGGGTCGGTTCAGGTGTTTTGGGTACGTGGGACGCGTCTGGGGTCGACTTCGGTACGTGGGACGGTTCAGGTCGTAGTGTCACAAAACCACCGGAAAGCCATACTAACAGTGCGTGGCCCATGCGGCCGGGAGCCTAACCCGCCCCTTATGCCCGAAGGAATAAGAAGAGAGAAGAAAGCAGCAGCAACAGCAAATGCAGCAGAGCTCTGTGCCGCCAACGCCGATCCTCCTCACACCTGAGCCGCCCTTCTACCCCACGGCTCGAGACAGGCGCCACCTAGGGGGGATGCAAGCCTTACATCGACCTTCCTGAAGAGTTCCTTAGCTCGCAATGCCGAGCTCAATCCAGACAGGCCGCGGAGCCAGATATCACCTGCTGATGGGGGCCGCACGGCCCTTGCATTTCTGTAAGTCCGATGCCAAACACTCGCCGATCCAAATCGTGGTTGTGCTTCAAATTCGCACATCAATTCAAAAGGGAACACTCACTATACACTATACAGGCCCAGTCTTTTGTGCTGCACGGTTCGATGTTACAAGAGTTGCTTCATAAGGGCCGGACAATTTTGTCGGTAACTGTACTTCATGACATGTCACAGATGCTCCAAACTTTACACAAGTGTCTTCGCCGCAGCCGAGTCCCGAACCGGTGCCAACTTAAAAAGGGGGATCCATCCATCTTCGTGACCTGCATGTGTTGTTGTTTTTTGTTTCTATGAGGATGGACACCCAACCGCTAACACCGCCGACATCCCCGGGTTAAAACTTCGGCATACAGCCAAAGGGGATCCGTCCGTTTTGGTGACCTGCATGTGTTCTAGCTACAATGTTGCTTCTGCGAGGAGGGACACCCCACGGCTAACAGCGGAAGGGGAGTCACTTGTGTGTTTTTTTTTTTTTTTTTT